GATTCATCCGCGCTGGAGCTGTGCCGACTCACAACCCACGCAAGCTAGATAATTCTGCACCCAGCTGCAATTCCAGGTTTTCAAACGGCGATGGCGATAAAGAGGCAAAAATTACGGACTGCAGCTTTAAGAATCTGTTACTGATTCAGCTATTCATATTATTATGAAATTTACACAGCATGTTTATTTTAATTTTAATTTAGTAAAGCACATTTATGGGTCATTTTGTCCCAAAAAATAATACAATTTAATGCTAAAATTTTCTTCTATCAAATCTTAACCTTTGAGTTATTGAGATTTCACATGCAGTTTGTCTCTCACAAGTTTTAAAATAGTTTCAGCTAGTTGCAGACTCAAATCCTCTCATGCAAATTCTTGTGCAACAACTGTTAGACTCCACTTTTCTTCTGATTTCAAGAACAATTTAGTGGTGGAAAACCCAGTAATATTGTTCTTCTCACCTAGTTTGAGGACACCACAGCAGCTGGTGTGTAGGTGCATCTTTAAATCATCCCAACTCTCTTCTCTGCTCACTGTTATTAGTTGCCCAATCATTCTGTATGCTAAATTTATTGCCTGTAACTAGTGCTGGGCGGTATACCGGTTCATACCGAATACCGGTTTTTATTATGATATGAATTTTGAAAATACCGTAATACCGGTATATGTCACTTAAACAACGTTCGGAACGCGACACTGTTTGAAAGGGGTGTTGCACTGTGGTGAGGGAACAGCTGTATGTGTTACTAAGCGTGAAAGTTCCGAAACTGAAGCTGTAGAACTAATAGAACGTGATGACACAGAAGAACTCATCCACAATATCCACATTGACCGCCACAAATATCCACCGCCCCCTGCCATCAGCTCACACACACACACACACGAGTGCGACTTTAGCACTAGATTTAGCAACTTTCAGACCCTTTTAGCGCTTTTTTCCATAGAATATTCATACTAACAAACCTAGCGACTTTTTAATATGAGCGTAGTTCGTCTGTTAATATCACATGCACTTTTTTGTTTGTTGTTTTTTTTAGTTTGTTACTCAGATGCAGGCAGTGCGCTGCATGAGACAAAAAAGTGATATAGCCAAAACAACTGCATAGCCGCTCTTTAGTGTAGATGTATGTTGATTTTATCAGACGATGCCACGATTATAAATGAGTGACTCCTGGTTAACATGTATTAAAAGGGGTCGTGTTTAGTCACTATTTAGTGTGGTATTTTTTGACAATATTCACTCATCATGATAGTAAAATAGGGCATTCTAAGTCAATATACTGCAGTATTTCCTCTCTCAATCAGTAGAAAATATGGTTAACACCCGGTCATGCATGAAAAAAAAATACCGTCTTGTACCGTGAAACCGGTATAATTTTGAAAAATACTGTGATATAAATTTTTGGTCATACCGCCCAGCACTACCTGTAACCTTTGTTGCAGTCTTTTCTCACAGGGTGAGGTGGTTGGCAGTGTCACTATGGTGTCACATTTATGTCCCCAATGTGCCTAAAAATGCTGTAATATGTTTTAAAGTATAAAGATATGAAGGGTGTTCATAATCGTAGTTTGGCCCAATGCATAAAGCATGTCTAGAGGAAATCCATGATTGTTAAAGTAAAAATGAGAATGAGATTGTTTGATATTAATATTATTGAATGTACAGTGGTGTGAAAAATTGTTGGCCCCCTTCCTGATTTCTTATCATTTGTAAGTCGCTTTCTCACAAAGCCATATTGTTCAATTACAATTCGGTTTGATGTGAAGAACCCAAAAAGCAGATGATGACAAACCAGCAAAACCTCAAAAGAGGAAGTGGGACAAGAGGTGTGGAGACATGCCTCTTTTTAAGACTTCTGCTTTTATATGGTCACACTTACAGTTCCTTCCTGTGTAGGCCTGTCACAATAACAACTTTTTGTTGTGCGATATATTGCCCAAGAAATAATTGCAATAAGTGATATAATTGTAATTTTAAAGACCATTTTATGCCACTGAATATATAATCATAATATAAAAGCATAATAATGCAAGAAGGCCTACACACTCCCAAATGACAACAAACTTTTAATTTTTAAGAATATTTAGAT